ATTTTCCAAAGTTGCCTTTCGGGGAAGTATAAGAGTCATTTCGGCCTCTAGGCATTCCGTGGTGTTTGGTGGCATCCTGGGAACAGGTGGTCTGCCAGCCGCGCACCGCACTGTGCACTAAACTTGCACTTGGAGCCATGCTCTTAGCAACGCATGCTAGCTTGCGCTTTGGAGACGTGCAACGCATTGACGTCTCCGCGCTTTCGCTCAGTTGCAGCGCACTGCACGGCATATGCTACGCAACAAAAACCACTGACATGGGGCAACCGTTTGCAGTTGCACTGGGAGGTGTCTCCGGGAGGGACACCGCTTCTTGCTGGACCCTGCACTGGCTTTCTGCATTGCACAGTGCACTGGAATCCACAAACACACCCAAAGATCAGGTTGATTTTCTTTGGTTCAATGCACAGCCGGAGTTAGCCCGGATGCCAGACATAGCACCTGCATCGTACTGCGCCGCAATGCTCACTCTAAGGTGGGCCGCGACATTGCCCTGGCAGCAGCCGGGGCAGGGACTTCACAGCACGGAGGCCAAGCAGCTCACTTTGCACAGCATGAAAAGCACCGCGCTGGCTTCAGCGGCACAGCTACGCCTGGACAAAGAGCTACGGCTCTTTCAAGCCCACCATCGCGACAGCGAGACCTCTATTCGCGTAACGACGTGTTCGCTAGCTTAGATGTGCAGCACCGCATCAGCAAGGCGCTCGCCTCCGGATGGAGAGCGGAGCGCAGCATTGCACGAGGAGGCCAAGCACCGATCCCGGAGCCTCCCTTCAGCCTGCCGCCAGGCGAACCAGTGTCCGCGCTACCGGCAACTGCGCTGATGCAAGGAGCCTGGCAGGCCTTCGTGACGCGTCACGAAACTCTCCTTGCACAGTACTGCCCTGATACTATTGCCTACCCATCCCAAGTGCCTCCGACGTAAATTCAGGAAGAGTCGCAGGCATCGCCATGCATCGACCTCCCATCCGACGAGGAGGCAGCGATGGTCGAACTGGCAGCGCTGCGTCGAGCTAACAGCCTTAGCTCGGTATCCTCCTCGGTCTCTAGCGCAGCATCGCAAGTCAACAAGCCTTTTGTCGTCAGGGCAGAGTTCACGGCCCGCTTTGCCTGCATCGGACCTTGGGGCAGGTGGCATGCACTGTCAAGGGATGGACCCGAGAGTCAAACAAGCCGCACCGCGTGCGGCATGGAACTTGGCATCGCAGCACAAGTCTCAGAGTTTCCGCAAGAACCTTTCTGCAGGCGCAAGGCATGCGTAAACGCTCGACGCAGCGCAGAGTCCTAAAAGAGCCCCTCTATTTTTCACTCTCTCCGCCTCCTCCTCTCTCCCTCCCTTCCCGTTGCTGCCTGCCCAGGTGGATCATCTTCACGTGCGCCCCCTGCACCGCTCAGCTATGTTTGTGGGTGCGTGTCTCTTGTTTGGTGCACGCGACTGCCGCAGCCGTTTTTTGCTTTAGCTTGCTCGTAGAACCCGCAGCTTTCTGTCTCTTAAGCATGGCACTGCCAGTGTCAACAAAAGGCATTGAAGGACCGGAGGCTTTGGATGAGCTTCTGGCTTCACTTCAGGTGCCAGAACCGCTCTGCACTGCATTGAAAGGCACGGGAATCCAGTCCATACCCGACTTCGCTTTTGCTTACAACGAGGTGGCGGAGCTCAGCCGCTTCTGCGACGCATCGGCATATGCTCAGCTCTGGCAAGATCTGGGCATTGATGAGCCGGAGCATAGCCCAGCCATGGCCCGCCTTCGCAGAGCCTGGCACAGATGCAAAGCCCTGGCACAGGCAGCCGAAGCACCGGCGTCTTCCTCTGAAGTCAGCACCGCACCGCAGTTGCCGCTTAACAGTTGGGCGGAGCACGCGCCGCCCCGCTTGGACACTGCAACGATCGCACAGCTGACCAAAGACTTTCAGTCCAACTATGCAGGTGAACACCTGGATGGTGACGCAATGCCCAGCGTGAGACTGCTTAGCATTGTGCACAAGTGGTTTTCTCCTGGAGGCAGCGTCGCATGGATTCCCTGGCAATTGCGACTCTCGCAGAAGCAATACCAGGAGATTATAGAAAGCAAAACAACAAAGACACTCCGCACAGAGGCACAGTTTTTAAGCACCGCGCTGTATGATGAAACACCGGAACTCCCGGTCGATCATCTTCGCCTCAGTCCCGCATGGTTGGGACGAATACAAACAGTCTTCCGCAATGCAATAGCACTGTGCAAGGGAGCGCACCTTGCACGGCTGAAGGCTTTTGACAAAAAGGTGCTGGACCTTGCAACGCACTCGCCAGCAGACGCATCGCTTCGCACTGTCACTACTACGGAACTGGTGGCAGCGGATCGCAAGCTCTGGCAGGAAATTGCATCATTGCACAGCACAGGCTGGTCCCTGGACGACGCACTGCATGAGATGACTACGGTCCGCGCAGACATCGGCAACTTACTCCAGTACCGAGCTAAGCCACCTCCTCCGCCCCTAAAGCCTCCGCCCCGCAAAGAAGGCAAAGGACAAGACGGCAAGGGAGGTGGCAAAACCAAGAACGGCACGCAGCCTGGCAAACGCAAAGAGCCAGGCACCGGCACTGCAACGGAGGTTAAGACCTCCGACCTGGTCAAGGAGCATGGCGGCCGCGCCTTCTGCATCAGATTTAACAAGGGG